TTTCCTGAGGAGTGACCCAGCTATGTTGCTTTATTAAACTAATTTAATGAACAGCGATGAATATATGTGTACGTGTGTGTGAAATCTTATTGTTGATTTTATGCTATTTACCACTGCGATTTCCCCCACTAAATGACTGTGGTATAGAAATGTTTGCAAATAAATAAATAAATCTTGTGGTGGCGGAATGCAAAAAGTCAGGCTGGGCTGAATTCTCAGCATATACCAGCATCATGTCTACAGCTGCTCATGCAGATAGAACCTGGCACTGGAACTTTCCACTGAGCTAGTCCTCAAAAGAAGCCCTGATTTAGGGATATGAACATATTATTTGCATCCTAATGCTTACAAAGTATATTGGGATGCCAATATTAGCTTGGAGCCATCAATATTTGCATTCATTCTGAGGCATATCTTTGGCAACCGGGGAGCATATTTATGACATACTGCCAAACTGAGCCAGATCCTTGGTCTTGATCCAGTACTTTCAACTGCCTATATTCTACAGAGCCTCTCTCAGTGCTGCTTCCTGTGATCATTTTAACTGGCAGTGCTAGGGAGTAGAGACTTGAGCATGCACTCTACCGTTCACCTACAACACCTCCAAACTGCCTAAGGCATTCACCCCTCTACCTGCTTGCCCAGGGTAATTGCGAGATACTAACTCACAACTGTGGATCTGGTCTATGGCAGGGTATAGATACAGAACCCCAGAACTCCCTTGTCCTTTGCAAAACAAGGATTTCAATATTCTTTTCACAGGTATCAATGGAGCCATTCTTAATCACCTGAGGCACAGTTCACATGGTTGAAGAGCAATAATATTTCTGCCATGGCAATACTACTTCGTGTACATCATTTGCTTTACATCAGGGATGGGGAACCTCGGACCCTCCAAGTATCATTAGACTTCAATCCCATCAGTTCCAGTCAGCAGGACCAATGGTCAGGGAAGCTAGGAGCTATAGTACAATGAAACAACTGGAGGGCCACAGGTTCCCCTTCTCGGCTTTATGCAAACATCCAATGGCACAGAGGCCTAGTTCATGTGGTTCTTCAGAAGAATCACAGGAAAAGAGCATTCATTTGGGGCATCCAGTTCATGGTGAGCATTATCATTTGGAGGAGGAAGAGGAGTCCGTACCTCCACCACATAGGGACATTAGTTCCCCCTCCAAATGTAAAACTGAGCAGTGCCACACTCCCCTGGATATTTCTTGACAAAATGTGTGGATCATGGGGTGTTTAAGGGTATACTTCCCCTAGCATGGTCTGCATGCATGCCACAGGTATGCCACCTTGGGTTCCATGCTGGAAGAAAGGTGGGATATAAATTTTAGGAAGTAAATAAGCAAACATCTGCTCAGTAATGTACTCCCATCTCCACAAACCATTTATCTAAACTAAACAGCAGCCTTCAGGTGGTGGAAGATTTTAACAGCAATCCAAGCAAAGGGATTTGCTGGCACCTTTTACCAAAAGCTTTATTTACACTTTGATCTCCTCCTTTGTCTCTCCATTCCCCACACCCAGGGCCATGTAAAATTTAATTAAGAAGTTTATTGTTGGGCCTCCCAGCTTTCGGGGAAAGAGAAATGAAGCCAATTGCTTGCAGAAGAGAGTAGAAAAATGTCACCTGGAAATGCGGCTCTGGCTGTTTGTAATCATACAAGAGAAGAACAAGTGAGGAGGGCAATCTTAAATTAATTAAAATGGCTCACTGTAAAACTAGAGTCTGGAACAAAGGGACCCCAGTGACCCTCGGATGAAAGATGTGACACAGCTAGAAGTGGCATCCTCTGATTTTTTTAAAAAAAGAGCTTTAGTGACTGGAAAACATGAAGGCTCAAGGATGCAAGTTAAAGCAAAACACTTGTGTATGTGTTTAGCGAGAGGTAGAGCGGGAGAAAGATCCTAACATTTTCTATAATTGTCTCTCAGTGGGCATGACCCAATGTGGACAGAGGGGTGGAGAGGGACATAGAAGTTCTAGCTGCATGGTGGGTTGGAGCAAATGTGTTCAGTGGTCCCAATCCAGCTGTCTGGTGCTGAGCAAGAACAGAGTCTCTGCTGCTATACCATGCAGCCCCCAGCCATCCATGAAAAGGCAAATACCTTGGGCAATTATTATTACAAGACCTCGTTGTATCCAAACAGTGCACCAAAGTGTGCACTATCCCACAGTGCTAGAGCCATGGAGTGAGAACTGTAGTCTTTTGTAGAAATAGAGCACTGCCATGTCCCTTTCACCAGCTGTAAACCGAGGCAGAGGGGGGTGCCATTTACCTACCAAAACACTCCAAATTTGGTGAAGGGGTAAAGTTGATCAACCTGCAGAGTTCACAACAATCAGTGTAACCATAATTATGACATTGGGCTGAACTAGTTCATGTGGGTTCTGCAGATCCAACTGCCCACCTACTTTATCAATCTAGTTTAGAGAAATGAAGAAAGCTGATGTTGTGAATCAAGCAGAGGTTTGTTTGTTGTTTTGAGGAATCCCCAGTGTTTTCTCTGCAAATTAAAGACTGCATCAACCTGAATCTCATAGGTTTAAATCCATTTTGCCCACTACAATTCTGGTCCTAAGGAATAGTTTCTCCACTTGGTTGACAGGTCAAGATGAAGAAAGGAAATAAACACCACGATGGTTGCTTTCAGACATCACACAAGCCCTTTGCTCATATGGGGCAAATATTGTTAATTGGGTTTTGGACTTTGCATTCAAATGGGTGCAATCTAGTCTAGTGAAACTAAATGTAAGGGAATTGTGAACCCTCTCAGTTAAAAAAGAGACACACATGTTGTAGGTAGGTAGATGGGTGGATACATAAACAGATGGCGCATTTTCTTCAGAATGATGAGGGACAGAAACTTGCTTTCATTTTAATTAAAAGTTTACAATATCTCAGGAGTCTCTGGAAGTGACTAGCTTCTACGCTGCAAATTATCACTGCAACCTAAAGAAGCATGAGAAAAGGGCATAGGTGCTCTTTCTTCTCTGTCAGTGGGAATCCATGCAACTTACAGCATGGCATAAAAAATAATTGGACCTGGGCAAAACCTTGGCTTTTGTGTGCTCCGTTAGTTGCAAGAGATCTGTTTCATATCTGCACGGCATCAAATTCATTCATTAAGTCCAGCGCACTGTAAATGACAACATTTTTTCCTCCCTCAAAGTAATCCGAAAAATATCCCTTCTCAAAGTAAACTAATTAACTTGAAAATGGTTTAATATCCTGTAACAAAATAATCTTCCAAGACTTCAGTTTCTAATGGGTGGACTTCCACCAGGAGGCAGAAAGTACAAGTCTGCAGTCGGCTTTCCCCTTCAATCAACCAACAGGGGGAAAGATGAGCTTCTATGCTTCCAGCACCATGAGAGTTAATCATCCTCCCTTGTGCCATCCAGGGACATCCATCAGCAGTAAAGATGCAGGGATGGTTTCACAAGCAAAGGATGGAGTACCGAGATGAAGGATTTCATTTTAGAAACAGGCCAAGAGAAGATGATAATTTAAAGCAGGCAAGTGCATCCTATGATCAGGCAAATACTTTCTGGTAATAAAAAGGGAAGCCACAGAGGATAAAATAGCCAACAAATGAATGAATGCACCATCAGCCTGAATGATCTCCCGGTAGTCACAATACCCTTAGAATGGGACCCTCTTGATTTTAAGCCCATAATGTTATGCCCCAACTTCTCTCTCTGAGAAGAAAGCCTTTCATATAGCAGGAGTTTTGGTGTGTCACCTGCAGGAGAATTTCCAGTATTAATATTTCAGCAATACCAATCTTTCAGAATACACTTTAAAGCTCTCAATTTCATCTCCCGCTGTCATTTTTATATTTTATTAAATGTCCTCGCTCCCTCTAGTGTTAGCCACCATGCTTCCTGAACGCTTTCCCTGGCTGTATTTGGCATCTCTCGGTTTCCAGCGCTTTTGCCCCAGGGCTGCATAGATCAAGGGGAGGGTGGCAGGAGGTCAGCTGAGCTAATTAGGTGGTGCTGTTCTGAGTTACAAGACTACTGATGTTTCTCTTATCTGTCCAGCAGAAGGCATGGTGCTTCCTACCAGGTTGTAAAGTGGACAGTTTGACTATTATTCATTTGCAGGAGAATAAAATAATCTTGATTTGGAGCAAGTTCCTAATACTGAGAGTTGGCATAGTTGTTTTAAAAGATGCAGGACTAGAATTATGGATCTGTTCCTTTTTATATGCATTCTGGGACTGTAGCTACGTTCACATTGCATTCATCAAAATATACCCCTGGCACCTGGTCTCTTAACAGTGCGCTATATAAGCTCAATAAGTCTATACTGTACATATTTGAAGGATGGTAGCAAATATCTTTATTTACTGTATGTTCAACCCAAAGTTCTGTTTGAAAAACAAAATTCTGGACAAGAAAATAAACATGGGACTTAAGGGTCTGCCTCACCCTTAAGACCCAATTACTATATGACAGCTTTCACCAACTTGGTGCCGATTAAGGCTGATGGGAATCATAGACCAAAAAATATGGAGGGCACCACAAAGGCAAAGGCTGAAGTGACACTGACTCATGGTGTCCGTAATGCACATCTGAACTTGACAGCCTGCACTGTAAATGTACCCATCTCAGTACAGTGTTTGCCAGCCAGTTGAAGCTCTGCCCCGTTGAAGACTGATATTAAAAAAGACCCTTGCCTGTCATAGACAGTGCATTCATATGCATATCAATTCAGAAGTAATCCTCACTGAGTTCAATGGGATTTACTCCCAAGTAAGTGTGTTTAGGATTGCAGCCTAAATCACATACTGCAGCACTAACTTTCCCCTCTTCCTTGCCCACCACCCAACCAATGCATAGGTCCACAGGCAAAGCCTCACATCAGAGATGGAAAACCCTTCTTTGGTGGAGGGCCACATTCTTTTCTGGTCAACTTTCTGGGGGCCACATGCCAGAGCTGGCTGGGGTTAGGAAGCAAAGGTGCCCCAAGCAATTAATATAACTTGGATAGCTCAGTTAGTAAAGCAGGAGACTTGTAATCTCAGGGCTGTGGGTCCAAGCCCTATGTTGGACAAAAGATTCCTGCATTGCAGTGGGTTGGACAAGGTGACCCTCATGGTCCCTTCCACCTCTACAATTCTATAAATCTACAAACTTTACCCTTTGTGCAGTAGGATAGTTTCTATATAAGGATTTAAATGTATTGCTTGCAGTTTGGTGCCTCTAACCCAGGATTGACTGCAAGCAGCTCCAGCTATTCTTGGGGGGGGACCCTCCTCCCCCCACTGCCACCTCTACCCCTGCCACCAGAGAACTGCTTAGTGCAAGCATAGCCTTCAATACACATCCTACAAACATTTGCATTCATCTGACACCAACATCAAACGGTGCTTGATAGGCACCATCATCAGAATAAACATGGCGCTGAAACACCCTGCACAATCAGCTTTGGAGAGACAAGACAGTTAGTTGGGAGGGAAGTTGGGGATATCCTGGGTAGTTAGTCAGAGCAGTACAGGGGGAAAGTCAAAGAGAAGCGCAGTGCTAAAAGACAAAGCTAATATAATTCAGGCAAGGCTTTGCAGACAGAGCCAAAGGAACATAAAAAACGAAGAGAGAAATGATTCGACACAGAGAGGGGAGGCGATCCCAAGTTCCAGAAGTGTCATGGCAGAAGGCACAAAGACTAGTGAGGAAATGAAAATAAGCGAGGGGGTGGGCTGGCAGCACATGAGATTCTTTGGTGCAAAAAAGGGGGGAAATTAGAGAAGTGAATGAAGCAAAGGAAAGGATGGAGAGAGCTTTAAATGGAACGGTGCTAGAGACTTTGATGCAGATGGAGGAAGGGTGCTACTGTCTGCTAACAGGGACAAGATATGAAGTGGCAGGGAACCAAGCCATGACGGCAGTACCTTAAAGCATTCAATTTGAAAGGAGATAGAAGAATGGCCTGCCAGGTCCACAGCCAAGATACAGCAAAACCAAAGTCCAGGCTAATTCCATGATCCCACTGCCTCAGGAAGCTCCTACCCCAAAGCAAACAGGAACAAAACATTGTCTTGAGCCTGTGCATTTCCAACAGCACAGTGCCATTGGATGCAAAAGCTAACACAGCAACTTTGACACAATGTGAAGGAAATGGGCTATTTCTGTTTTTTAAAAAATATATACAGTGGTACCTTGGTTTACAACCATAATCCGTTCTGGAGGTTTGTTTGTAAACCAATACAGGTTGTCACCCAAGGCACGCTTTCGCTAATGGGGCCTCCCAAAAGAAATTTTACGTAATCTGATCACTGAAGAATTGATGCTTTTGAATTATGGTGCTGGAGGAGACTCTTGAGAATCCCATGGACTGCAAGAAGATCAAACCTATCCATTCTTAAGGAAATCAGCCCTGAGTGCTCACTGGAAGGATAGATCCTGAAGCTGAGACTCCAATACTTTGGCCACCTCATGAGAAGAGAAGACTCCCTGGAAAAGACCCTGATGTTGGGAAAGAGGAGAAGGGGATGACAGAAGATGAGATGGTTGGACAGTGTTCTCGAAGCTACTAACATGAGTTTGACCAAGCTGCGGGAGGCAGTGGAAGACAGGAGTGCCTGGCGTGCTCTGGTCCATGGGGTCACAAAGAGTCGGACATGACTAAATGACTAAACAACAACAACAAATCCAAAAAATGTTTGCAAACTGGGACACACACTTCCAGGTTTGACGTGTAATCCAAAACGTATGCAAACCAGACTGTTCGCAAACCAAGGTACAACTGTATATAAATCTTGTGTGTAGGGTTGTTTGGGAATTATGGAGTTAACTTGTTAAACCTGGTGTGACCAGTGGTCAATCTGGAAGCTGGTAAAATCATAGAGAAGGGTACAGATTTTACATAGGTGATGTCTGCTGGGGGAGGGGGGTAACCCTAGTACTTCCTTCGGTTTTGTGAATTCAAAAGTAAGGCAGTTATGGAGCCCCAGGACTATCTGGCTAGTAACTTGCTTTGGCTTTCAGATCTGGTGTGATCTCAGGATACAAAGGAAACACACCCTGGAGGGTTACAGACATGGCTAATTGGATGTAATTCATTAGATGTAGGGTTTCTAAGGAAAAAGGGAAAGCAGGCTGCATTTAACTCTTTGTTTATTTGTTCGTTTGCTCCATTGGGAATCTTACGTAAAACCTTTTTTTTCTTAGGAACTGCTTTTTTATTCCTTTTAGGTAAAGGTAAAGGTACCCCTGCCCATATGGGCCAGTCGTGTCCAACTCTAGGGTTGTGCGCCCATCTCACTTAAGAGGCCGGGGGCCAGCGCTGTCCGGAGACACTTCCGGGTCATGTGGCCAGCGTGACGAAGCTGCTCTGGCGAGCCAGCACCATCGCAGCACACGGAAACGCCGTTTACCTTCCCGCTATAAAGCGGTACCTATTTATCTACTTGCACTTAGGGGTGCTTTCGAACTGCTAGGTGGGCAGGAGCTGGGACCGAAAGATGGGAGCTCACCCTGCCGCGGGGATTCGAACCGCCGACCATGCGATCGGCAAGCCCTAGGCGCTGAGGTTTTACCCACAGCGCCACCCGCGTCCCTTTTAAACTCGTTTCATAAAAGGTTTGCGGTCTACTTGAACATATCGCTCAACATCTGTGTTTTTAATTTGTTTTATGTTTTTATATTGTTGCAAGCCACTGTGATACATTTTAACTAATAAACAAAGTGCCATGTTCTACATTGTCTTGGGTGTTCTCAAGGAGACACAAATGGGATTTGGGGCTGGTTGGTGAAAGGCAGCCTTGCAGAAAAATAAAATGCTTTTAACTAGTGGCAGCAAAGGTCTAAAGTGAAGGGTGAGTGAACAGGAGGGGACATTCTGCTTGGCCAGGAATCCCTGACATGGTACAGGACCCAGGGAAGCTGGGGTTCCATAGCACAATCAAACATATACACCAGTACCCCTGGCAAATATAGAACATAGGAAGATACCTTATACTGAGCCAGACCACTGGTCCATCTATCTCAATATTGTCTACACTGACTGGCAATAGCTTTCCAGGAGTTCAGATTAGGTTCATCCTAAGGCCAGGCCAAGATATCTTGCTGCCTGAGGCAAAGGGCAAAATGGTACACACATGAACCCATTCCTCATATAGTAGTGAATCTACTACTACCTCACTAAGTAGTTTGGATTTGAATTCATCTAGGGCAGCAAAAATAGCTTGAGCCAGCTCTGTCTGTGGTCCACAATTCAGCGCAGAGTTGGGTACACTTAAACAAGGGTTGGGAAGCTAGGGATCTTCCAGATCCCATCATGCCCAGCCATTGTGGCTATTGGTCAGGGATGTTGCAGTCTAACAATGACTGCAGGGCAACAGGTTTTCCTCCCTGACAAACACACTGATTTCAATGGGCTTATAAAGTGCTTACACATATGTGTTGAACTGTGGTCTCTAGAGAAAGATCAAAGCTACAGCAAGCCTTGAGCTACCCAGCCATATCCAAGCAGCTTAACTAATTTGTTTTGTAACCCAAATCCAAGCAATACATTAAATGTGAGCATATTAAGAAACTGTAACCCTCCCTCCTCTGGATTAATTGAAATAGGGACAATCCTGACATCAGATTCACAACTAAGTGGAGACAGGGGAACACACTGTTCCAGCTGCAGCGCTCTCAGTCCCAATGAATATATTCCAGGTTTCCTCAACCTCAGCCCTCCAGATGTTTTGAGACTACAATTCCCAGCATCCCTGACCACTGGTCCTGCTAGCTAGGGATCATGGGAGTTGTAGGCCAAAAAACATCTGGAGGGCCGAGGTTGAAGAAGCCTGATATATTCCTGTTTAGTGTCATGGGAGTAAGTTATTCAGCAAGGAACCTAAATGAACCATCTTCTGTGCCACTATCTGTTGAGGAATCTGGCTAAGAGTCTTTCTAGCAGACTCTTTCTGGCTAGGAGTCTCTGCTAAGCAGAGCTATCCATTCCAAAACAAAACCAAGTATTGTCCCTGTCACCATCCTTTCTTGTTAGAGCCCTTAATTAAAAAAACCACCTGCCACCTATTACAGCCCATCAGGCTCCCAATGTGCATCTCACCAAGGTGAGAGGTAAAATAACAGCATCAGACTATGTGCACATTAGCAGCCAGCAATCCCACCAGAATACTGCCAAAGGCATTTATAACCAGCCTTACCTCCAAAAAGGAGCAGGCAGAGAGGCACGCACTTCCAGACCTTTCTATCCAACAATGGCATTTCCAGTTCTTTGAGCAAAAGGTGTCAGATCCACAAGGAAGAGGAACAATTAATTACTGTTTAGATTTCGCACAAAGGACTCTAGATGCATGTATGTATACAATTAATTACTTATTGTCATAGATAATTGCATGCCTATAAATGCTTTCAATATATAATTAACACAAAGAACAGAGAAACAATCTTAACTAGAGGGAGCGAAGCCACAAGGACTCAAGACTTTCACAGTTGCATAAACCAGGCTCTGGAAAATAAAATAAGAACATTGACCTTGTAGCGTTTTTCTAAAACCCAGGAAGTCAGGGGCTCTTGACTGACTAGCCCAAATTACATTTATTCAGAAGTGTATCATTGATTTTCAATGGGGCTTTCTTCCAAATCAGAATGCTTAGAATTTCAGCCAAAGCCAAACAAGGATTCCCAAATCTCTTGACAGACAACACACTTCATCCAGCGCAGCAGAAATGAAATGCCTTTCTTCATTCCTCTGGCTGTTCATAGGGATGGAAATTATAACTGATAAGAAAGCCAAGTTCTAAACCAGAGATGAAAAACTTGTGGGGCTGCAGATGTCGCTGGACTGCAACTCTGATCATCCCTGGCTCAGACTAATGCGAGTTGGGAGTCCAATATCTTTCACAGATGCATGAGCCACAGCAACCCCATCCCTGTGCAAAATGTTCTGGCCTGGCTCAATAATGCCCAACACCTTCAATGGTGTGAAGAGAAAAATAGTATCTCTTTTTCTTTTTCTTTTTATAAGATATTTATTGAAATTTTCAAGATATTACAAAATAAAAATAGAAAAAAGAAAAATACAAAATAAAAATA